TAATCCCCCAAAGACTCAGGTATTGAAGGCTCAGTTCCCTAGACAGTAGCGTTTAGAGGTGGGGCCTGGAGAGGTGATTGGATCACAAGGATGCTTGCCAACTTTTCATCAATGGACTTATCCATTGATGAGCTCTTAGCCCAATGGGGCATTAGGAGGTGGAGCCCAGTTGGAAAGAGGGGATCACTGAGACCATGCCTTTAAAGAGTATGTCTTGTCTCCAGCCCATTCCTTTGGCTCTTTCCCTTTCTATGCTTCTTGTGCCAAGAGGTGAGCAGCTTTCCTCTGTCATTCCCTTTCACCATGAGGTTTCTGCTTGGCTATAGGCCTCAAGCAGTGGAGCCAGCTGACCATGGACAAAATCCTCTGAACCATGAGCCAAAATAAGCTGTTTTTCACGGGTATTTTGTCATAGCAAGTAGCACAGGGTGGGACTCCAGGATTTCTGTGACCTTTCCTAGCCCTGACTTTCCCATGTGAGGAGCTGGGAAGAGGAGTCCAGTGAGGTCAGGCGCCCTCACCCCAGGTTACACAGCAGGTCAGCGGAAGCCGTCCCAGGAACCCGGCCACTTGCCAAGTATGTGGTGATTGTTCTTTGCCCTGGGTCCCTCCAACCAGCAGCCTAACCTTCTCCAATCCTCTGTGCTCAGTTCCTGGGTGGCCTTGGTGCCTGTGTGGGTCTGATGAGGCCCCAGCTGTTTGGAGAGGTGGCTTCTACTGGAGGGTGTGTGAGGAGAGCCACTGGTGTCTTGCAAGTTCTAGCACTGTCCCTGGCCGCCTGGGTGGAAGCTCAGCCCCTGGGTGGCCTGTGGCCCTGGACCTGCTGGCCAGGGCTTTGGGGTAGTGTGGAGGCCAATCGCATGTTCCTCAGCCTCTAGTGTTTTCTTGGACTCTTGGATGGGAGGCTTGATGCTCTGGCTATCTTTCTGACTTCTTCTATCTCCTGCTTCCACCACCTTCTAGAACCAGCCAGGGACTTAGGCTGCTCAGCACCAGAGGGACTTTGCTGTTGGCAGGTGGTTGGAGAGTGGCTCTCTGACTCTCTGCCTTTCAGTGTCTGAAAGATCAAATCTCAGGCGGGTCTTCAGTGAAGTGTTGTTCCAAGGCTCTGCTGCTAGCCAGGACTATGTGACTCTTCCCAGTTAGAACTGGAAGGGAGCTGGGAGGGAGAGTAGAGGTGCTGTTAACAGTACTGGGACTTAGGAAGGTTCGGTGTTTGGAAACATGGGTTGGAAAGTGACGGCCTGAGTGTTGGGTGGCGAGGCCTGTCAACAGTTCTTTGTGTGGAAAGAATCTGGAAGTCTTAGTGGTACCCAAGTTCCATGCAACCCGACCATACCAGAACAGGGAAGTACAATCAAGGCTGTGTTAATGGTGGGAGCATTAAGAGAGGTAACAAATCTAAACAAGGAGATTGCAAGTCTTCTGTCTCTGACTGACTCATTGGATACTTGCTCACCCAATGTAGGAATTCTGCTGGCAAGTCTCCAGGAAGCAAGGGGTCTCCTCTGTTCAAGGTCACTCTGTCAAAAACATTTTTTAAGCATCTACAGGGTGCCATATTGTTTTTACTTCTATTCTGACATTCATTAAGCTTCTGTGTGCCTCTGTCCTCTGAAAGTCTTCGATCTCCAGACAGTGACCTCACCTTTCTGTAGGGCGGACAACCTTTCCTTCTTTATCAGTTTTTCCTAAGACATGGCTTGGTGAACCTTTCTTTTTCAGTTGTGACCCACTCTAGTATTTACTCATTGACTCTTTTCTTAAACTCCACCCAGAGCCTAGTGAGGCCATCATCTCCTTTGCTCTGATGTTGCTATTCCTGTTGATGCAGTCAGAGGTGGGAGGCCCAGATACTGTGAACTCATAAGCTCAGTGACCCTGGATGTTCATTCGGCAAAGACTCACTGGTGTTCTCCAGAAGGGGCTTGCAATAAGTCACACAGTGAGCTAGAGAGTTCTGTTCCTGTCTCAGTCCCATCCTTCCTATTATCCTTTCCTCTTCTTCTTTATACGGAAACTGACCCCTCCCCTGGCTCCCTGATCAGAGCTTTCCAAACCGAACCTGCCTACACTGAAAAGGCATAGTATCTTGGAGTGCTGTAGGGCCCAGTTTAGAAAATCCCTTTCACCCTCTGGGCCTCAGTTTCCCCAGGTGTAAAATGAGAGGTCAGTCCAACCCCCATTGAGAGCCCCCTCCAGCCCTGATACTGGTGTGCTGAGTGCATAACGGGTATTTCCACTCCCATGCCCCACCAAGGTCTCCCGGGCACCACTTGCCTCACACGTGGAAGGAAGTCCATGGGAAGAAGGTCCTGGCCGCACAGCCTGTGGATTCCAGGGAGAGGCCCCAGTTACTGGGAGATGAGCAGGAGCATCTTCATGGTCCCCTGTGGAGATGCACAGATAGGCTAATCAAAGGTGGAGAGGTGTGTCCTGCTGGTGAAGACCCTGGGCTGGGGAGCCAGGCTCCATCTTGGCAGGAAGGACTCCTACTCTGTCAGGGCTGAGTTCTACGAGCGACTATAAATTCTCAGCGAAACAGCCCCGTTGGGCCTAATTTCAACCACTTAACCCAGAGGTTGCATTCTTGAAGTGTTCTGCCAAATGCATTCATCTCTGGCTTGGCTCAGGAGAGCCCTGCTCTGCGTGACTTTGCACACAGCAGCTGCCTTGCTGCTAGCCCTTCTGTTCTTACCTGCCCAATGCAAGCTAGAGGCTTGGGTTCCCAGTCCCTTGCCTCCCCACTCCCTCACTGGTCAGCAAGGGCAGGTCTGTCTGTGCTGGCTGTCTCTGCTCCTGTAGAGACCCTATGGAAATGCCCAACTAATTCAATGAGACAGTCAAGGTGACCAAACAACACTCAAAATGGACAAGCAGGATCCAAACAGTGCCCTAATGGTTTATCAGTATAGTCAAGAAATGGGTACCTTCCACACAGTGGGGTCAAACTCTAACAAAACATCAACTCAGTTTGAATAACAAGTCAATTTGGTTAAATAATACCAAAGCAATTGTTCAACTCAGTCAAGCAACCAATCCGCTGGATCAAAAAGATTCTTAAGCAGCCAGTCTTTGGAGTTAAACGAAGCCAAAACACCCAACTAACAGCTAGGCTTTAGGTCAAACAATGCCAGAACAATGGGTCAGCTGGGTCGCGTAATAGCAACACGCCCAGGCTCTTATAAACAGCCAATCATCGGCCTCATACGATGTCCAAATATTTGGATTAATTCATTCAAGCATCCAGTCAGTTTAATCAAACCCAGTCAACTTAGTTAATGAGTGCCAAAACACCTATCCAACTTAAACACCCAGTCGAGTGGGTCTAATGGTGACAAAACAACTGGTCAAGTTGGTGAAACCACCAATCACCACAGCCAAACAAGCAGTCAAGCCAATCAAACTGTGCAAAAGCAATAGGTCACACTGGTCACTAAGCAGTAACAAAACACCCACTCCGTTCTGTCAAACAACCACTCAAGCAGAGAGCCTGTGTCTAAACATCCAGTCAACTTCATGAAGAGCCAGTTGCTTCAAAATCGTGAAACCGAAACAGCCACTTAACTTGGTTGAATGAATGAGGCCGAGTACTTTGAGGGGCACACTCGTCCTTGTCCGGTGCTCTCAGGCCAGTGACCTCAAGGAGGTGATCCACTCAACCACGTGAATGCTTTACTCCTTGTCCACCAAAATATCCATCAGCGCAGTCTCCCAATGTCCAGGAAGACATCTGAACTGTCACTCGTGTGGAGATTGAGTTTCTCAGGTCACGAGACTGGTTGGGGTGAAGGGAGGGATTTGAGAAGGACATGTTTATCCTTCTCCCCAGACTGCAATGGGGAGGGAAGAAACCCCCTTCAGAGTCCCTTGCTGCAAAATATTTGGCTTGGGGATACTTTTTTCCAGTGACCAGATCTTGGAGTGGGGAGCTGCACAGCACCCGCAGTAACTCAGCTGTGAGCCATGACCTGGTGTGACCTGGTGGGTTAGTCAGTTTTCAGTGCCAGCATGGTTTCCCAAGTCCAAGCCTGTCAGTGGGACCAGAACTCTCAACAGGTCTAGGAACACTGGTAATCCCCAGAGCACCACTGTTCAGAGTCTGTGACGGGAGCATGATTCAGTTCTTGCTGTGGGCTGGCTCCTTCCATTCACCTGCACATCTGAGATAGTTATCCCCATTTTGCAGATGGAGGGCTTGGAGGCTCACACAGGTGAAGGTCACAGAACTACAAGTGGCAGGGCTAGGATTTGAAACCAGTTCTGATTTGAGCTGCCAGCTGTGCCTTTGAAATAGTCACTGAAAGCAAAGGCAGAGGAATGAGCTGGCTGGAACAGTGTCACACCGAAGGTGCAGTGAGAGGGTGCACAGAGAGCCTGTGTGTGGCTCTACGTACAGTGGCGACAGGAGAAGAGGTGGTTCATTCCAGGGGAGGCTCGGGTGTAGACAGGTTGGAAGCCAGAATTTCAGCAAAGCACCCTCTCAACTTACGGTCCACCCTGGTGCTAAGCCCTCTTGTCCAGGAATGCCAAACAAGCATTACTCATGCCTGGGGGCCAGTGGGGCCTGGGCTGCTCTGCACCCTTTTGGGGCTAGTGTACAGGACAGGGGCGAGTGCCTCCCTAAGATGTGCCCAATCCAGCCCACAAAAGCCCCCGTGGTGCCTGCCTCCCATACTTGGTTAGCAGCACTGGGCCCACTGTCGAGTGCGATTGACACCCTCCTTCTACGGAAGAAGAGTGGTGTTGACTCACCTCCCTGCATTAGGCACACAGTGTTTTATTGAACGGGAATGCAAATCACATGGGCAGGAAATGTCGTAAAGAGAAAAGTAATCTTCTGACGGAAAAATAAATTATCAGCCGTGTTCCGAAGGAAAAGAAACATTCTTAAATAATTTCTCTTGCTGTTGGTATTGGCTGGCAGTGTGGGCCAGCCAAGCAAATGGTAATTTCCAAATTAGATTATACATTATGTCATATTAGTTTTATATTAGAAAAACAAACGGGATCAGAGGAGAAGTGCCAAGGTTGGCAGGCTGTGCTGGCCACGTGATAGCTGCGTTTCCACTGCAGTGTGTTTAATGATTCCAGGAGAAGAGGAGGAGCAACTCTCTGACCACCATGGGGCAGTAGGGATTGGTGGCTCAAGGCAGGCTCTCCGGGAGGGAAGGGACAGCTCCCAGACCGGGCCTCTGTGAGTGTGGGTGCACCCAGGGTGGGAAGGAACGGGAAGGACTGCGACATGGTCTTACTCTTCTTTCTCCAGGGAGCTGGGCCCTCCATGGAGGGCTGACTTGAGGACGGGCTTTGAAGTCAGGCCACTGTGGCCGGCGCTCGCCATAGGGGCAGCAGGTAGAGGGGGGTCATGTGTCAGTCCCAATGCAGGGACTGGGTGATGAGATGCCTGCGAGGGGTTAGGGAGCAGAGGCCCGGAAGTTGCTAGTCAAGAGGTTCCTGCAGCTTCGAGTTATCAGACCCGGCACCTTGAAGCCTCTTGCTCCCTAAGACTGTGCTAGGCCATTGTTTGCATGTGGATTTGGGCAACTGAGAGCTTCCCAAGGACAGGGAAAGGTCTTGCTCTGAGAAGTTCACACCAGCACAGAGCTTGGCACTGCTTTGGGTGATCACTCTAGAGATGGGAGAAACCAGAAATCTAGATGGTTTGACCAGAAATCTAGAGGACTCAGAAGCCTGGGTTGGGGCTTGCAGATCTAGGGAGCTCCATGTTAGCAAAGCTACCTGCCACCCCATGACAGGGACAGCTGATCAGGCACAGCACCTCTGTCCTCACACACCTTTTTAAGCGGCTGCTGCTAGCAACCAGAGGTGGTACGACAAGGAAACCTACATGCCACTGTGGGTCTAGTCCACCTTCTAGGCTCAACTGAGAAAAGCAACACTTTAGAAAGGGGGAGGCAGTTTGTCTAAAATTCCATAGCCAGTGACAGATCTGGAACCTACCTTCCGAGGCAGATAATGAAATGAAAAGAGAAGACTTAGACTGAATCAGCAAGGAGCTGACAGGTAGAGCGTTTGCTTACCTCTGTCTGCATGAGTGGACTAAGCATGAAACCTTAGGAATCAATCAGGCAGCAGTGCAGGCAGAAAGTTCCATCATTTTGGACATTCCTGGCCTCAAAATCTTTTCACTGTTCCTCAAGAGAGCTGCATTCTAATTCCTTTGGTAGTGTATGTGCTCTCTCCGGACCTCAGTTTGTCCATCTGATAAATGGGGGCAGGAATGGTGCTTAAACTAAGATGTAAAATCCCTTTTATATGTCAGGATTCTGTAGTCTCAGAATTCAGCCCAGATTCTCCTAAGACTCAGCTACTTTTTTGGGATGAGTCTGGCCAATGGAAGCTGCAGTAATTAGCTGGGACCACTAGGGGGAGAGGGAGGCATTCTGCATGGTTCCTGCTTAACTTCTGTCTGAGCCCCCTGCTGGCCTGGAGGGTTACTACTGCTCCGTGCTACCTTCCTGTCTTCCTTGGAGTCTCCAGCTCCTGGAGATTATCATGGAGCCCTACCTCTAAGCCAGGGCCTTTGCTGAATGTTGGGGGCCCCACCTCTGGCCCCACCTCTGCCTCTGACAGTCTAGAGGAGGCTGGGGCAGAAACACATGGAGACCACCTAAGTGCAGCCTGTGTGGTATGTGAGAACTGTGACCAAGTAGTAGGAAGCCATGAGACTGCAGGGGAACCTTCTTGGGAAGAGCGACTTCTGAGCTGAATCCTGAAGGACAAGGCAGATTTCAGTGGGAGAAACTCCAGGTGGAGGGGATGACCAAAGCCAAGGCCCTGCTGAAAGGGTCAGAGTGAGTGGCAGGCCACGCTGTAGACTGGAGGGACTGTGTGTGAGCACAGAGAGGGGAACAGGACAGGCATGCATTTGCTCACAAATATTTGCTGGGTATCTGCTGAGTCCCAAGGTGTGAAAGGTCTTGAATGACATTCCCAAATCCTGAATTATCTCCCTTCCTGGGCTCAGCCCCTAGTGTCTATGGCATTAATAATAAGAGTTTGTTTCTCAATTTAGCTAACTATGGTGTAGCTTTCCCATCTCCCCATGGGGGAGACTGTGCAGGAGGGAGTTGGGGTGGGAAACTGCTGAGGACTGGCAACAGTGTGGGGTCACTGCGATGTGGAGAGATGAGGCGACAGGTCAGGAGCCGAAGGTGCAGCCTCGGCTGGTCTGGCTTCTCTACTGGTGCGCCCGCCATCCCTGTCTCTCTTGGGGCACAAGATCCTGTGGCCCCCCTCTGCCCAGGGCCACCCTCTCGGTCCAGTGCCTTAGCTGGTCCACATGTGGCCGTGTTGTTCCAGGGCGCAGTGTGCTTGTGTGGGGAGCATTCCTGGTTGGTGTGGAGGCAGAGTGAAGCCAAGTGCAGAGGCTGAAGGGGCAGGGGCAGAGAGGCCTGTGGGACAAGAGCCTAGTGAAGGAGATTCCCAGAGCAGGGAGGGGGCAGGTGGTGGTCTCAGCCAGGAGACATAGCCCCATCACTGCAGGGCCCAGACTCTGGAGAACAGATCTTGGGGCAGCGAGAGGGAGCCATCATCAACTACAGTTACAGTGCACTGGAGCTTTGCTCATAGTATCTCACTAAAATGCCTCCGTCACCTAGTGATAGGGGGTTATGATCTCCAGGTTTAAGCTGGGTTTGATAACGGCACAGTTAAGTGAGTTGCCTGAGGTAACACAGCCAGAGTGTGGTGCTGCTGAGATCAGAGCTCAGTCTTTGTCTGCTGGCTCCCCATATTTCTCTTTCCTGTATGCCATGGTGGCTCTTTACATTTCTTGCTGCATCTTTTCCTGGATGTGGCGAGCCTTCATTCCTTGTCTTCACCTGGGCTGTGACACCCTCTCTTCTGTCAATCTTTCCCTGGCAATGTTCTCATTTTTCACATCTGGTTCAGGTGTCTTGGGAAAGGTCCTTTGACCCCTCTAGATTTTATTTTGCTCCTCACTCTCTTCTCCATCCACTAGCCATCTCTTCATCCCTTAACTTTTTCCAGAGACCTTCTGGCTGTGCAGACAGAGTCTGTCACTGTCTTCCCTGCCTCCCAGGTGAGGGCCACCCTCCCCTGCAGCATTTAAGTCTCCTCTGCCCCACCAGCCTGGGAGCTCCCAAGGGTGGGGAGCTGTGTTTGATGCATTCTGGTCTCAGGCGTTGCCCAGCAGCAAGCCCACTTCCAGTCCACCTCTCCTTAACTCCTCTCCTGCACAGAAGGTTTCTTGCATTTGGGCTGTTTTGCAAAGAAGAGAGTTTTCAGCTCCTGGTGTGATTTGGGGTTGAGATTGAGAGCAATTTTGGGGGGTGCCAAGCGACATTTACAAATAGCCTCAGTCAGAAGGGGAGAGTTGAACTGGAGAAGCAGGAACAGGGCCTCTTCTCGCTGTCCCTAGAAACCACATGGTGATCCAAGGACTGTAGAGAGTGTTGGGCATTTCAGGGACCCAGGGCTTGTCTCATTAGCCTGAATGTGTAAACCATTGCTCAAGACTGAGAGAGACTTGGTGTGTCCCTGGTGGCTCTGGAAATGGCTCTTGAGGCATTTGTCCCATCTCTTGGTGGGGATGAACTGAGTATTAGTTTTCTGTAGATTATGTTGTGGTAGCAGATCCACCATGGCATACCCCAAGTAGGGGCTTTACAGTAATAAGTGTTGACTTCTCACCCACATCGTGTTTTGTTTGTGGTGGCTGTGGGTTGACTGGGGATCTTCCCATGTGTCTTCTTTATTCTAGGATCTCTGTGAAGCAGCTGTCTGTATTTGAGACGTGACTTACTCAGAGCAGAGAGCAAAAACAGAGATGGCTGAACCACACAATAGCTTTTGATGTCCCGCTCACTCACATTTGATCGATCAAAGCAAGATCCAAGACTGTGCTGTGTGTAACTCCCATGGGAGGCTGCCAGGCAGAGTGTAGGAATGCAGCATCCTCTCACAGGGATGGGGCTGGAGTAATTAGGAGCAAAAGCACAGTCTATTACCAGCAAGAACCATCATTTGGGCTTGAACCAGCCTCTTCCATCAACCATGCCTGGACCACTGTGTTGGCAACTTTCCCATTGCTGGGACAAAATATCCAACAGCCTGCAACTTAAGGGAGGAGAGGTTTATTTAGCTTATAGTTTCAGGGGATTCAGTCAATAGATGCTGGCTCCAAAGCAGAAACATCATGGCGAGAGAGTGTGGCAGAGCAAAGCTTCCCAGTTCATGGCAGCTGGGAAGCAGAACAGGAGAAGCACACCAGAAAGAAAATGGTCAGGAACCAGAAATAGACAGCAAGGTCAGGCCTCCATGACTCATTCAGACATACCTAGTTATGCTTCATTAATTCTTTAGGTGGCTCCCATTTTATTTAACTTGTATACCCATACATAGTCTTTCTAACTTTCACAGCCTGTGGTGCCTCTGGAGAAAAATTGTGCTCAGACTGGACATACGTATATGGCTCAGGTTGCTAGAAAAGCAAGTGTGAGCTGGTTAGGAGAAGACCTTTCCTTCCATCCCCTGCCTAGCAAACTCTTCTTTCTCTACAGTGCAATTAGCGCCATTTCCTTTAAGAAGGCCCCCACCATCCTGAAGCCTCCAAGTCTGGTTTGGCACTCTTTCCTGGTGCTCCTGCTGCTCCTTTGCTTTCCTTCTTTCAACCTGGTGAACTGTGTGTGATAACTGTTTCTGTGTCAAAGTCCCCAGGGACCAATTGTGTGCCGCATTAGTTCCTACCAGATGACAGAGTTGGTGCACTTTTCTTCTCAGCTCTGAATTCAGTGGTGTTGTGTAGGTAGCTTGGAATGGGCCACAGTGCGCATATTTACATCCAGAAAGCAGCAAATGCTATAAATAAGGACCATTTTCCTCCTGGAGGGCAGTTGTTAGACATTTGCTGCCAGCCATTGCTCTGGTGGAGGACAATAAGAGGGTCAGGGTGTGCGTGGCTCATCTCTGTCTTCCTGTGGGGTGAGGGGGCAGGGATGGGTCACTGAGCGGCAGAGAGTGGAGCATGAACAATGCCTGCCTGGTTGGATTTTGGGTTTCTGCCTGTGCCTGTTGTGTGTCCCCACCCCCTTTCTCCAGGTCCTGGCCCTGTGTTCATTGCCCCTGGGCAGGTTGTGACAGGGCAGGGCACAGAGGGCTGCAACCCTTTCTGGCCTCTGTTCTCCAAATGTCTGAGCTTTGGAATGGAGA